GAGTGTCTGCCCTGGCGAAATCAGTTGTGCTAGAGAAATTCGATGTTGAGTGCATCACGAAACGTCGGTAGCTTTTAATGAAATCGAATAAAACGTGATTCGTTTGCGTTCACTTTATAAAACCGAAATTAAACCCCACGCACACTACTTACGTCAACACTAAACTTCGTTGAAGGAAAAGCTTGGCATTGGTCCTGTAATTGAGCCTGTTGAATCCAATTCGCATCTGCACAATACATTTACAAAATATCCTGTTTAATTTCATCCTTCGGCCTTTGTCTCGGTCTACTAAGTGACCGTTCCTGAAGATATTTCCTCACTAAAATTCTGTATTCATTATTTTGTTTCGCCGACCGACCGACCGTTCGGGTGCCAGTAACAAGGACGACTGGAAAGTGACATCACTTAGGCGGTGTCACCTTCATTTGTTCTGGAGGTCCTTTGTTTCGCTGACGTAATTAAACAGCGATTCACAGCAGGGTAAATCATTCCTTTTTACACTGAGCCAGTTTAATCCTCGTTCACGTATCCTCACAATCTTTCTTTCATCTTTCCGTCTATTTCTTTCTATCTTTCTTCTTCCTTCATTTAATAACTTAGTCTGTCTATCTCCCAGTCTTCTCTGTTTCCTTCGAGAACCTATCTAACATCATAGTCTACTCTCGTCTGTGCCTTCGCCCAGATTGCTTAAGGCCCATTGCAATCCCTACACAGCGCAGCTTCCGTCCACAAGGATCAGAGTGGCGGACGGCCTTTGTGTCTGCATGTAGGCTGCCTGAGACACCGTTACCTACCAACGGAATGCAGCAAGCAGACCCACGCACTGAGGAAGATCCGGAGACGTGGCGTGGCGTCTTCTGAGGCGGAATCCTAACTCCTGACTGACCGCCTTTTGGGATTAGTTTTATTACAGCGTTTCACAGTTTCTGAGTCTCTTATACGTGCTAATGTAGCTCTTACGATACCCCATAAACACGAAATTAAGAATTGCTGGCAAAGCAAGAAACCTGCTTGTTGCATCTCAGTGTTTTTTGGATACTTAAACGGCAACACGACACCATTTTCGTGTTTACTGTGAAG